TACACATAAAACAACTCACATTCAAATACATGAATTTCTCTAGACAACATTTAAAATAATCATTGATACAATTAACTTCTAATTAAGCATGCTTAGCATAACAAATGATTATAACTCACAATGGAACAAGAAGGTAGTGGATTAAGGTGTCCCTACCTCAAATTTGCACAAAACCCTTAAAATAGGTCTTGAATTTCAAACTCCAAGGAGAGGCTAAAAGCTGGAATTTCTGGTATGGATGCGTAGAGCTTAATGTGAGCTTCGTTTTGCCTCAAACGGCACCTAAATCCGCCAAGTAACGAAGAATAAATCTTGCCTCAAAGATTGAGTTGAAAAAGAAAAGAAAATAACAAGAAACATCATCCCTAACGTCCAGTCTCAAGGGGAACCTAAATAGGATCATCCTAGTCTAGTAAAAATAATATTAATTCATTCATCAAGACAAGCATAATTAATATAATATAATAAACATAAATCCACAAGTTGCAATAACACATAAATGCCAACTTGAAAATAAAAGTCGAAATCAATTAATAAGATAACTCGGAACACACCCATACTCCCGGTCACATAGTCATGCTATGCGCCTAAATAAAAATAGTCGTTTTCGGATTACTAGTCCGCCGGAAACTAACCGATTGGCCAATATAAAGTGGGGAAACTCATGTTTCACCCACGAGCGCCAAGCCCTCGCATTCTCAAAGTAACAACCCCCGAGTATCTCCCAAAATCAACAAACAAGTCCATAAAATAATCCATATACTATGATATGCCCAAATTGCACTTCACATGCACACATAAATTATACTAATCACACAATCCATGTCCTATGGTTCAAATCACTATAATGACATACTCTTTGATGCAATGTCAACAAATTGAGTATTTTAAAATCATGTGTTTTCATGTTATTATTATATTAAATTTCAAGTATGTAAAAGTTTAATATCATTATAAAAATGTACATATTTAAAGTTAACCCTTACAAAATAACAAATACATAAAAATCCATGAACAACCACAATATATAAGACATTTTAATTACAAGTAATTGCACACACTAAAATCTAACACTTTAATAAACATCAATAATATCAAAAATGGAACAAATAATATGTTACACATGAAAATTAATATAAAAACTCAATAAAACATTATGGACATGCAATTAAATCATTATATAAGCTCTCTAATCCAACCCACACACACAAGTGTATGCATAACTCACACAATGGTCATAAAATTCCAAGAACTCCTAAGTTGTAAATACAATACACCCCTATCTCAAGCTAGGAGCAAACCCTAGCTACTCCAAAGGAAAAATGTGCTCTAAATCCGAAATTGTTTAAGGGGTTTTGTCCCTTTCGTAGTCCCCTCAACTTTCCCTTCTATGCAAGCTCCAAATCTCAAAGGTTGGAAGTGAAATGGTGGAGAAATGGTTGAAGTAAAATGAAAAATAAAATAATGGAAGAGAGGAGAGATAGTGTCAGTAGAGTGGGAGAAATGAGAAGATTTTGACCTATATTACACTTTCTCTCTCTATACACAAGCGTATACATATCACATACATGTCTCACCCACTAGTCAACCTATGCCCCCACAACAAACAAAATGCTATTAAAAATAAATATAAAAAGAAAAATAAATAAACTTGGTCATCACACGGGGGGTCATGCCATCATCTCTGAAACTCTCACTTTCTGGCCAGATGCCAGTGTCGATGATACCAATGATCATGTCATCACCGAAATTGGTTTGAGTCCACAAGTCAGCACTCTTTTTCAGGCCAAGAAACTCTAGAGAATGTGTGGTGCGAAGCTTTCCAAATGTCTCAGGATATGTGGCAATATGACCCGGCATCTTCTCTAGCTGATCAAGATGAAACCGAGATAGCACTGCACTGAAACCATCCCACACGGTTGTAGGTGTGGAGACGGATTGGGAAAACGCCATCATCCGACGATGACAGGGATGAAAGCATGGACGTGTACCAATTATCATGATCTGAGAAGTGAGTGGGCATAGCTGATTTGCCCATGTGGATTATGTAGGTCCCACGATCATCCACCATGGAAGCTGCTGACAAAGCAGTTGAAAGGAGAAGGAAGAGAGATAAGAGCTTAAAAGTAAGGTAGCATTCCTTCGTCGTTGCAGTGCAGTGACTGCAGATCACAAGAAATCAGTACAATTAAAAGTGTTTATATAGGTCAGGTTGTTTAAATGTTAATGGGACACCTAACTAAAAAAGAATTGTGATGGGGACATTTTCCAAGCTAAATAAACTAAACCGTAGTTGATAAAATCAACTCGATGAGACAGAATAAGAAGCAGCAGTAGTGATTGGAGTTCTCCTTTTGCTATCTGAAGGCCGGCCAGCCAGCCGGCCGACGATTCTCATAGAATTGGTTGCTACTTGCTAGTTTCTTGTAATACTCAGTGTGATGTTGTAGCAGAATGTATTACAGATTATAGAATTGAATATAGTAGAGTCATTGTCAACTGTAAGAACCGATCTATATCTTGTTGCCACAAAAAATAGGGTAAGAGCCAGTCTTGGCATTCTTGACATCAAAGGGTTCAGTTCTTCTCTAACAGCATACACCATCATGAATTAACTTACAATTTGAAAAATAATATAAGATGTGATTCCTTCAAATTCATTAAGCTCCATATGTAATTTTTACAGTTTTGCTTAGAAACATCAAATTTAAGAATGACCACACCAATAAAATGACATAGATTAGAGAAGAAAGCCTTTACCTCCAAAAGTAAGTGGAGAGATGATGTGATGATGAAATAGCAACCATGTTTCAGGTGTCGTATCCTGAAAAAAGTAGAGATCAATTCAGAATTACCAGCCTTCAGTTTATGATCCTGAAGCTTCAGCTTCAATTCAAGTAGATGTAAAAGTAAAGTTATCATGGTTTCATTGAATACACTTCAATACAGACCAGTCAAAATGAAAAATATTCCAATGGTTTATTTAATGAATTATAATAGCTGAGATGTCAGTTAATGTACTAATGGATCTTTAGTTGCAGATGATAAGTTGCAATGACGCAAAAGAACAGTGGTCTTGCAAGATGGGCACGCTGAGCAGCCAGACCATTCCTGAAGGATTGAGGCATGAGTTTGTAACGAATTGAGTTCCTGATCTTCATCAAAATCAATTGCTGAGAATTGCATGTTCCTTTGAAAATTACTGAATTCCTTTCCTCCCAAACATGGTAGACGGTTGCTGAGAGCGCCAATTTGCAAATTGAGTTGGCATTGGACTTTGATTTCCAATGGTGTGAAGCCCACATGATTAGGTCATCCCAAGATGGAGGGTGAATCTAAAGTCACAGAGACTTTGAATGTAATTCCGAATTGGGTATATGAAGACAAAAGGCGCTGTGGTTTGGAAAATGCCACTTTGCCAGAGAGTATCTATCCATGGTTGAAAGTTGATGAGGATGGTAAGCCATAGAATGAATCTCTATGATGAGGGACAGAGGATGAGTTCCAAACCAAGTAACTCCATGGAACAAGCTGTGATGAGTTACAGAAGGGGGCAATGGTTTGTTCCAACGAGTACAGCCCATTTGGTGAAGGAGACCAAGAAAGGGAGTCAAAGTAATGTGTTAATGATGGAAGGGAAAGTGTTTCTGGGAAAGCAGTTGAAGTGTTTGAAGGAAAGTCCCAAATACCTGAAGTTGAGTTGAACTAAAGGCCAATTTTTGATATGTGTGGTTTGTGGGTGATTGCACATATCAGAGGTTTACCTTGCAGCCACAAGTCCAAAGGGTCTTTGGTTGGTTCCCTGTTTCAAAAAAAAAAAAAAAAGCCGCCAATCTTGAGATCGATGGTAAATCAGAGTCTTGAATGTTTTGTCGGCTGTATCTGCAACATAAGGGTTAATTTCCTGACCAGTTGTGATGCCAGAAGGTACGTGAAAACCATCTCCAACTTTTGCTTTGATTAGAATCGTTGCCAGTGGCCTGAGTTGCATAATTTTAGCATATCTGTGGTGTTTTCAATTCCCACAAGCATCTATCCTTATGAGGTATGTCTTTACCCATTGAACCTGTGATCGTTTACTATTGTTTGTTGCTATGTTCCATAAGTGCCTGAGTAAAGAAGCCTTGTTTAATCGCTCAATATTCGGTATACTAGTTTTCAAAGTATGAAAGGATTTACAAATAATAAAAGATGTAGGTATTATGATAACATAGGTTGGATTCACATGTGATGGAACTATGCATCTCAATTCACATCTAAAGTTAAAAGTTGTGAACAAATTGGATGAACAGTTAATTCAACCTGTTTCTTATCTTACCGTGGTTCGCCTTGATGTTTAAAGGATTTGAATTTGTAATAGAAAATGGAATTGATAACAAGAGGAAAAAAAAATGATTTATGATATTAAAAATAGCTTTCACCCAAAAACATTAAATTTGATAAGCATTCGTCAAATTACTCAATAATGAGTGCAACATACAATGATGAAATTTTGAGTAATAGAGTGAAGTGAAAATGATGAGCAAACTAATCAAGTGACTAATGGGGACAATATTGGGTAACACTATGACCAAACTATTTAAGCTAAGATCTATTTGTCGTGTATGATAAACCACCTAGAGATAGCGCGCGCACACACATATATATATATGTATGTATGTATTTTCTTGGGTTGTTGCCTCTGCAACAATTAAACACACCATAAATCAATAACTCGGAACAGTCACTTTATGAAATATCAAATGTTAGGTTTGTCTCAAGTCCACCATTCTTAGGTATGTCTCTTTTAGAGTATAACAGTTTTTTTTGTCAGCCGCGATTATCTTTAAATTGTCAAGATTATTGATCATAAACTTTTCTTAACATAAGAGCAAGACACAAATAGTTTATTTCTTAAAAAGTGAAACAACAGCTCAAAATGCTGGGCAGCAACAATAGGACTTCTAAGCACATGAGTGATCACTCTGGCAAATGGCTAATAGGTCTTCAAGGATGAATGGTTATGTACCTCTTACATAAGGTGCATGGGCAGCAACAATAGGACTTCTCACCATATGAGTGCCTTTAACATCATTCCAGCTTAAATACCCATAATTTATTATGGAATCACTCTGGGTACTAGCATCTCCAATAGTGACCTCTACTGTTATTTTGAACTCGGCTTTGCTGTACTTTTTAGCAAAGGACACCTTTGGAGGCTGCACAACTACTTTCATCCCTGATGGAGCCTTCACCACCGCACGATAAACAGATGGACTATCTACTACATTTGTTAACACCCTATTAAAGGTGTAACTCGTAGTGTTAGTCTTGTTGAGGAGAACAATAAAAGATGGGTAATTAAGGTCACGGCTGGCCTGATCGCAGCTAAATTTCGACCTCCTGGTGATGACCTTAATCTGTTTGTTTGTGTAGTTCATTCCACACAAGTAGTTGATATAGTCTTGCACCTCTATGTCATAAATAAGACCAGGATCCATGGCCTTTTCAGGGTTGATATGTCCTGCCCCAAAATCAAGAGGAGTCCCAGCAACTTTAGTGGTTGTGTCAATGATGGGGCCATTGGCGTTATCAATCACATAGGCAGTAGTCATCATGGCTGATCGGACGGCAGCTGGGCTCCAATCCTTGTGGACCGCCTTTAAAAGCGCTGCTACACCAACTACATGGGGAGAAGCCATGGAAGTGCCAGAGAGGAGTGTAAAATCAGTAAGCAAATAGTCGTCTCCTATAGGTGCAATTCCTCTATTGGGTGCCCATGCAGCTAAAATATTAACCCCGGGAGCCAAAATGTCAGGCTTTAGTATCCATGGAGACCGAATATCTGGCCCTCGTGATGAGAACCATTGCACCATGGGGGCAGGTTTAGTACCCAACACCGTTATCTGGAACTTGATGCTGACAGTTGCATTCTCTGTTTTGATTAGGTAGTCTTTGATCAAATCTCCGTGTTTTTGGGTTACTGCCACATATGGCAAATTGAAATCGCGTGGCCGAAGAAAATTTTGGAAGGCAGTACTAAAGATTGCACCAGCAGCTCCTGACCTTTCTATTTCCAACATATTGACTCCTGCATCTTCATTGATGAAGTCACAAAATACAAACTTCCCTGCAACATCTTTTGGGTCAAGAGCATAGTCTTCACAGAGTTCTTTGCTTCTATTCCCTTGGCCAAAGTATATTGGATCGCGAGACACCAACAAGTCTAATGGGTAGACAGATTTTCCTCTAACAGTGAGGACCTCATCTCCAAGCATCACATCAGCTGCATAATCGCGATCGATTGTCCCGGCACCGACAGTTGTGATCCAAGGAGCTCCATTGAGCATAGTGAATCCATGAGGACCACTGTTGCCAGCTGAACAAGACACAAAAATCCCTCTCTCCATGGCTGCAAAAGCTCCCATTGCAATAGGATTTTCATCAAAAGGCGTCTCGGGGAATCCCAATGACAATGACATGAGATCTACTCCGTCAGCTATGGCTTGGTCCATGCCGGCTAATGTGTCTGTGGCAGCAACCCCATGGCTATCGTCGTTGCTGAAAATTACCTTGTACATGGCAAGCCGAGCTTTTGGTGCAACCCCCATTGCCGTTCCTTTTGCATAACCGAAGTAATTGGCACCTTGCACAGGGCTCCCAGCAGCAGTGGACGATGTGTGGGTCCCGTGCCCAAAGTAGTCCCTCGGAGAGTCGTAGTCTTCAGTTCTTGATATGTTTAGGCCTAATTGCTTCATCCCTTTACTGAAAGAGCGAGCTCCAATGAGTTTTCTGTTACAATTAGAAGAGTTGAATTCTACTCCCGACTCACATGCCCCGTGCCATCTCTCTGGCACGGGGGGCATGCCATCATCTTGGAAACTCTTACTTTCCGGCCAAATGCCAGTGTCAATTATACCAATAATCATGTCATCACCAAAATTTGCTCGAGACCACAAGCCAGCCCTCTTTTTAAGGCCAAGAAACTCTAGCGAATGTGTGGTGTGAAGCTTTCCGAATGTCTCAGGATATGTGGCAATATGGCCTGGCATCTTCTCTAGCTGCTCCAGCTGAGACCGAGATAGCACTGCACTGAAGCCATCCCACACATGGTTGTAGGTGTAGAGATGGATTGGGAAAACGCCATTATCAGATGATGACAGGGATGAAATCATCGACATGTACCAATTATCATGGTCTGAGAAGGGCGTCGGCATGGCTGATTTGTCCATGTGGATGATGTAGGTGCCACGATCATCCATCATGGAAGCTGACAAAGCAGTTGAAAGGAGAAGGAAGAGAGAGAAGAGCTTAAAAGGAAGGTAGCACTCCATCGTTGCTGTGAAGTGACTGCAGTTCACAAGAAATCAGTTCAATTACAAACTGTTTATATAGGTCAGTTTGTTTAAAATGTTAGTGGCACACCCGACTAAAAAATATTGCGGTGAGGAACATTTTCAAGCTAAATAAACCAACTGGATGAGACAGATTAAGAAGCAGCAGTAGTGATTGGAGTTCTCCTGTTGCTGTCTGAAAGGCCGGCCGGCCAACGATACTCATAGAATTGGTTGCGAGTTTCTTGTAGTACCTCAGTGTAATGTTGTAGCCGAATATATTACAGATTACAGAGTTAGACTTAAATATAGTAGTCATTGTCAACTGTTAAAAAAATTAGTGTAAGAACCCGTCTTGTCATTATCCAACAGCATATACCCTCATGAATTGTCTTTCAATTTGAAAAATAATATAACGTGATTTCTTCGAATTCATTAAGCTCCATATGTAATTTTAACTGTTATGCTTAAAAACATCAAATTTAAGAATGGCCACACCAAAACTAAGTGGAGAGATGATGAGATTGATAACCAAACAGCTCACAGCAAACCAGGTTATCACAGTTTCATTGAACATGCTACAATATTGATCAGTCAAAATGAAAATATTACAATGGTTTATATAAATAAATTATAATAGTTGAGATGTGAGTTACTGAACAGATGGATCTTTATTTGCAGACGGATAAGTTACAGTGACTCATGAAGTAGTCATACATAGAACTTTAGAGATTAGACTTCAAATCTTCTGGCCGCCAACAACTAACTCTAGGGATGAAAATTTATTCTACTAAACATGTCAATCCGAACTATCTGTTTAATAATTGTGTCAGACCCTCAACATAACACGATCGATTTATTAAACGTATTACACATGTGAATATGTTTAATGACATGTTTGTCAGAACCTGAGATTATACTATTTAGATAATTTATAATCCTTAATAAAAAAATATAAGTCTTAATCTAACCAAATTATTGAATAGTCTCTAGTTGTAATAAGGGGGAGTTTGTCTCACATCGGATCCAGATAGAAAAGTGATTGGGTATATATGGGTCTCCGCCTAATAGCTTAGACTTTTGAGTCGGATTGCGATACAACCACACATTACAATTGATATCAACGTTCTTGATCCAGTATCACGCCAAACACCCAACTCGGCGGCATTCGGGTGTGCCATCCGGGTAGGTAGCTAAGGATCTATGTTTTGATGACATATTTATTACACAATGCATATGTTTTAATATATATTTTTTTTAATTGACAAGAAATACACTCAAACTCATTTTGTCCTTATAGAGACTTGAACACTTGACCTTTTACAAAATACCACTCAGTTACAGTCCTTGATCAGTGTTTAGAGATAAAATTTTAATAGGGCTTTAAGGGTGTATTACTGTTTAGTTAATTCATATGTTAAGTAATGCTATCACAAGAGCCGTCTCATAATGAGCTCTCTTTTCTATCACCCACAATTGTCTTTAAATTGTCAAGGTTATTGATCATATACTTGTTAACATAAAGTGCAAGACACAAATAGTTATTTCGATAAAGTGAAACAACAGCTCAAATGCTGGGCAATCTGGCATATGGCTAATAGGTCATGAAGCATACATGCTTGTGTACTGCTTGCAGAATCTGAAATCATGAGGTATCTAACACTTCATGAAGGAACATATATTCAATTGGACATTTTAGCTCTATTGAAACTTCAAAGTGTGTATATATATATATATAATTTGATTTTATGGACAAAGGGTTCATAAATTAACTCATAAAATGTAGAATAACGAGCTTAATTTGTCATTGTTAAATGTCAATCCTCAGCAAGCCTTTGGTTGAATATTGCCCACGTGTATATTTCATTCTTGTTTCACATTAAAAAATACATGCTTCTTTATTTTTTCTCATAAATTGAAATATAAAAAACAGGAACAATAGGCCCTGCTTGGAATTGAACTCCCAAAACAGTTTTCTGTTTTGGGAGTTGCACAAAACAGAAAACACTTGTTTCAATCCTGCTTGGGCCTACTTTTGGAAAACAGTTTTTATAAAATTGTGTTTTCTTAGTGTTGGTTTTTAGAGAACAGCTTGGGGTAGTTTTCAGAATTTTGCAGCATTGTTTGAGGACTCAAAAGAAAACACGGAGAACACTTTCTCCACTTAAAAACTGATGCTACCATCGCATCGTTTATAACGCAGCATCCATCTTCTCTCTCTTCAACCTCTCTGCAATTCATCTTCTCTCTCTTCTACCTCTCTGCCTGATCTAGTTTATAACACAAGCTCTGCAACGCATCCATCTTCTCTCTCTTCAACCTCTCTGCAACCCATCTTCTCTCTCTTAAACTTCTGTCTCTTCAACATCTCTACAACTAAGAGAAGGTAGATCTAGCTCTTGAAGATCGTTATTTACACAAAGAGAAGGGTGGATCTGGTTCTTCAAGCTCTCTTTCTTCAGGTAATCCTTCAATCTCTCTCTCTCTCTCTCTCTCAGTCTCTCTTTGCATTTGTATTGGTATTTTGTGGATTAAAATTTCTAGAACCTTCTTTCAGTTTTTATCCATTATATTAATTGCTTTTGTGATTATTGCGAAGCTTTTGTTTTAATTTTATTTCTAATTTATTTTGGGAAATATTGATTGATTTTGTTGGTTGTGAGAGTTTTGTTGTGGATTTCTTTTTCAGTTTAGGAATTTGGGGGTTTTAGTTTAGGGATTTGGTTTTCAATTTAGGGATTTAGAGGAAAGAGAGAGGAGACAACTTTATGTTAAAAGCTTGAGGTATTTCAATTATATTTTTGGGATTAATTATGTCAAACCACATGTTACTTTTACTTCATCTATGTAAATTTAATTTTACATTGCAAAAAATTATTTTGATGGAGTTAACCATCAACTAACGGATTGGGCCAACTTGTTGTTTTTGTTGAAATTTTAAGATTGATTAAAATGATTTTTTAATTGATTGGTATGATACAGTTACATACCTGATCTAAGAGATAGTACCGGGTGTTGATTGGAATAGGGTAGACTTCCATGCCCAGACATCATTGGCACTATTGGACATTCTTTGACTCTATGGGCACGATTGAGGGTCTCAACCTGGCCAGCACCATAAGAACAGGGATTTGAAATCTACAATTAAAAACATCTTGTTAACAGAGAACTTGTGAATAAAGAACTCTTGGAGAATGCTATGACTATATATATAAATCCGCAGATAGGTTGTGAAGGGGATGGTGTGTGTGACCCAATGTAACATGAACCTCTTGCAAGCAAATATCACATATACATTTAACATATGTATACTCTTGCAAGCAAATATCACATATACATTGATATTTGCTTGCAAGAGGTTCATGCTACATTGGATATATATATATATATATATATATATATATATATATATATATATATATCCAATGTAGCATGAACCTCTTGCAAGCAAATATCAATGTATATGTGATATTTGCTTGCAAGAGTATACATATGTTAAATGTATATGTGATATTTGCTTGCAAGAGGTTCATGTTACATTGGGTCACACACACCATCCCCTTCACAACCTATCTGCGGATTTGGACTGTAAGACCATTGATGAGGAAAAAAAAGTGAGACCATGGATGAGTGGATTGCATATTTAATTGTCTCCTGAGAATCCTAGTATTCGCGAAGTTGAGTTTGAAGATTGAATTGTGAGGAGGGCAGTGAGAGAATCAAACTGTGGAGAGTTGATTATGTTCTTGTATAATAGCTAATTTAGAGTTAATTTATGATATATGAGCATTGCTGCCCTATTTTGTTTTCAACTAGCTAATTTGGATTGAATATTAAATAGATTTACTTTAATTTAGACTGTATATTAAATAGCTAATTGTAGCTTCATCTTCTTTTTTTTTTTTAAATTGACATTCTTACCAATAATTGTAATGTGGTTTGAATTAAATTAATTTGTCTAGATAATTCTAGATGCCCTCTCTTTATTTTTCCTATGTGAACCTTAATTCTCTACTTCTACATAAACTCTTATAAGTCTTGTACAAAGTATAGAAAGTATTTATACATTATTGTCTTTGATTTATTTTGTCTAATGAAATCAACTGATTCATTTATTTTTATAATTGTAGGAAACGCTTGTTGCACAATTCATAATTTTATTAGTCAAAATGCACTAGTTGGTTGTTTTTTTATGAAGTATGGAGAAGAAGATGATATTGTTAGTGAGGGGAATGCTAGCACGAGTCAAGGACCGAATGCAGTAAACTTCTATGAAGCAAAGTCTCATGGGATAGAATCACATACCTTTACAAGTGATGTTCATCCAATTTGATCTAGATGATGTTTATTGAAATAGAATCACATATTTCATTTTTTTCCATGTCTTTTAAGTTTAGATGAGAAGTGAGATGGTTTATGTATGTAGACATTGAATTCATGTTATGTTATGAATGAAAGAAACCCATAATACCAGAGCAGTTCTTTGCTACACAATTCCTGTGATGAGATGGTTTATGTATGTAGACATTGAATTCATGTAATCTTATGCATGAAAGAACCCTATAATATAAGTCTTTTTTCATTTTTAGTGCATTTTTTGTTAATTTGAAAATATTTAAGAGTAATCCACATCTAATTTTTATAATAAATCTAAGAAATAAATAAAAAATAAATGAGTGATATGCAATATTCTTTATTTTTATAAAATTATTTTCAACCAATTAGTTTTATGAGTTTTTGTTTTCCGAAAATTGTTTTGTAATTTTCCCAACCAAGCAGGTTGAAAAACTAAAAAAACTGAAAACTGTTCTCTATTCTTATTCTCTAAAAACTGTTCTTGAAAACAATTTTGAGAGAACAAAACCAAGCAAGGCCATAATTTTTAATCGGATCTCATTTAATCAGCTTCGCTATGTGACTGATCAATTGGCCAGTCTACCATTATTTGTTTTGAAATGATAGATCCATGTTATTGATTTTGTTAGAAAATTTCATACAATTAATTATTTTATTTTTTTGATATAGCACTCTTGTAGTCTAGTGGTATCTTATCTATCTTCCAAACTGAAGGGTAAGTGTTCGAGTCTCAAAAAAACAAAGTGGTTGTGTAACATATGCGCTTGGTTCTTGCCAATAAAAAAAATATGAATAAAAATTATGTATGGCAATTCATTGTCGCAAATCGAATTTCATGTTCAAAAACCCTATTGCAATCAACGAAGATCACAAGAGGAAAGCTTTGATGGTTTATGTGTCTATAGATAAGGATTAGGTTGGTGGATGAAAGTCCTCCGAGATGAGAGGTGTTGAGATAACATCGAGATAGTCGATTGTAAAATGTTTTACGATCCAAATATAATCGGTAAGTCATTTTAACTTATATGGCATAAAATATTTTAACAAGTCGTAAGTGCAACCAAACACCAAATATTGCAGAAAATATTTTTCACTGAAAGACAAACAGACCCGAAATCAGGCATTAGGTTTTTGATACAATGCTAAATAATAACTGATTCCGGAATGTGATACGAAAGTTCTTCTAATTATTGGACATGAAATTTATGGTCTATATTCTATTTTTTTACCATATATAAATTGAACTTGACATTCCATTCCCTATTAGACATCATTTTTTTTTACTCCAATTGTTGAGATTGATTCATCACCTGTAGTTGTTCTTTGCATCTGCCATCATATACAGCTCAACCTCTGTCATGAATCATGATAAAGCTTGGGATGTAGTACGTACTAAAATTACCATACAGAAATAAACGCTCAACCTCTCATTCTTCCATTCTCTCTCTCCTCTTCCTCCTATTTAAGGCATTCTGATACCCCCTCCAATTCTAATACGCACCAAGAGAAGTGAAAATGGCTAAGGCTATAGCATTTGTCGCCTCTACCCTCTGCCTCTTGGCCCTGTCTGGATTAGCCCACGCCGATGACAAGAAAAAAGACGCCAAGTTTACCGTTGAAGGCAAGGTTTACTGCGACCCATGCCGCGTCGAGTTCGTCACCAGCTTGAGTCAATTCCTAGAAGGTAATTAAAAACATCAAATTCATCATGATCATCATCCTTGTCATTGTCCCATATGGATGGGTTGGTCATGTAAATTCTTTTTCTATTCTTTCCTACCATACACCATATGTCTTCGTTCGTTAAATCAAATTTTTTTAAATCATTTTTAATTATTTCATCTTATACAAGCTTTGGTTTACCTTCAAGACAAATAACTCTTCCTCTTTTAATCAAATTACGAACATGAAACTCATATGTGTGTGTGTGTGTATAATGTAACACTATTGTTATTCAATGAGTGCATGCAATGAAGATAAAAAAAAAACTACTGCAATGCATAGAAAGTTAATGCTAGGACATTTTGCACAAGTGATCCATGTGTACGGAAAATGATATTTAGGCGGAAGAGTGTACACTTTGCATCCATAGTGGGGTATTTTGTCATATCGTGTGTATTAAGGTTTTTTTTATCTCGATTGTGCAGGTGCTGATGTGGTCCTGCTTTGCAAAAATGCGGAGACCGGAAACGTGACATACTCCGTTAATGGAAAATCCGGCAAAGATGGGAGCTACACTCTAAAAGCAGAAGGAGATCATGGTAACGATGTTTGTGAGGTGAAGGTGGCGACAAGCCCCCAACCTGACACCTGCGGTGAAGCCATGGATGAACCAGCGCCCGTCGCCCTCACCGATATCGAGTCAAACAGCGATATTCGCTATGCCAACTACATCGGCTTCATGAAGAAGGACCCCGATGCTGAATGCACCAAAGTGCTCGAGGAGTTGGGTATCTACCCTAATGATCCTGATGAGGACGTCGCTGCTCAAGACCCACCTGCTGATGAAGGATCTGCTCCTGTAATACCTGCTCCTGAAGGAGCTGTTCTTGAAGAACTTGCACTACCTGAGGATAATTAAATAAGCTAGCCACATTAATTCCATGCATGTATAATGTATTTCGCATTTCCATAACTTAATAACTTCTCTTGCATGTATCAAAGTTCATGGTAATTTAATTGCCATATTTGCAATTATAATGACAACAAGTATTTGAGTTGATAAATCTACTAAATGAATGTTTTGGCCTTAATTTTCCTTTGGAGGGTTACAATTAATTGGAGAGCACTTGATGAACTATATATATTTTCATGTATTGCTATGAATGAGTAAATTAATCACGTGCCTTAATTTCCATCTATCATAAGGTCCATAGTATATATGTGGATAAAGTATATATCCAATATAATAATTACAGGAAATTATTAATGAAGCTTGAAAGTAAATATGTTTACCGTTTTCCTTTTCTTTGATGGACAAATTAAGGATTCATAATGGAAATGCATATATATAAATGAATGTGATTAAATAACTCGTGGAAATTTAGAACGACGAGCTTAATTCGCCATTGTCAACCCTCATGAAGCTAGCCTTTGGTTTAACATTGCCCACATAAGTGCTTCTTATATATTTTTTTAAATTCTCAAAAATTGAAATATAATAACAGGAACTACAACCTTTGGTTCCCATTTAATCAGCTGTACTGTATAATAACAGGAACTAAAACCTTTGGTTCCCATTATTTTGTTAGAAAAATTCATACAAAATTTCTGTTTGTATATATGGCATTCTTCTCTATGGAATGAAAATTACGTATTTGTACAACAAAAATGCTCAAAGTCAACAACAAAATAAGCAAGTGGTTATGAAGCTTTTCCTGTTTGCAAATTAGGGCCATAATAAGGATTAATTGTCCGACATTGCTGTAATGATAAGGGTTTGAGGTCACGGGTTCAAATAGAAAACACTTTTTCTTTTTGCAAATTAGGATCATGTGTAAGATTAATTATATGACATTACCATAATTGTAAGGGCTTGAGGTCACAAGTTCAAATAGAAAACAGTCTACACTGGGAGCCCTTTTCATGTCGAATTAATTGTCCATTCAATACTTGAATTGAAAGTTTGGAGGAAACTATTTTAAGATAGAGAAATATATTCCATACATTGCCCTTTCAAATCATCAATTTTTTTTTTCCACCTTTTAAAGTCAAAACTATATATATATATATATATATATATATGAATGATATGGCTTGCATTAATGGTATATATATATACCGCATATATAATTTGTTAATGAATGGATGTGTATGTCTGTGTAACGCATTATATTTAATTATCGTTTAACAAATGAACGATAATGCCAAATGCAATGCTAAAATAAAATGTAAAAACAAATAAAGACTATAAGTGCACTAATTATATATAACACCTCTTGTTTATATATTTTGGGAAGTTGCAATATAGTAACAGCTAGCTTTGAAATGTACAAGCCAACTAAAATTGTTCACCAGGCTCCAAATAAAACAATTTTGTCTTGCACTGCAACGTCTAGTATACTGAAAACAAAACAATAGATGGCTTCACCATGAGATATTCTTCTTCACCATCTCTGGGCCCCTTGACGATGGTTGGCGATTTTAGTTTTTTTATTCGAAACAGAAACAACGTTTTTGTTAAAGTGTATACATTTGTGATAGAAAACATATTTAAAAAAAGTGAAAGTGTCGCATAATTAGGTGATAAAATAATTAGTCTAAGGTTTTGCAATATATTGCAAAAGTATTAGGAAACTGTTGGGTTTTGTGTCTTGAATTTGGTGTGTATTGTTCGGCAGAAGATCGTTCAGTCCAAACTATTTAGACCATTTGAACTGGGTGAAGTTTGTAGTTGAGAAAAATTGCCCTAAATGGACCGCTCCAATTCTAACCAAGTCACAGAATTGTTGTCCAACAAGTGTAGAGAGAGAAATTGTAAAGTGAAGAAAAAAGAGTACGTAATTAAGGCTTTGTTGGTTTCATCGTAAAATATTTTTCGAAATTCATTTTCCTCATTTTTTGGTGTTCGGATGACGCTAAGTTTAGGAAAATATTTTTCATGTAAATCATTTTACTCCTAAATGACTAAAAATGATTTACCAAAAAAGAATTTATAAGTCATTTTCTACATACTACCTTGGGTCATTTAACCATACATATTTGAAGGAGCATGAAATCTTACTGGGCCAAGTCCAATCCAGCCCATCAAACCAGAGGGAGGCCCAACTGCTGACTCTCACCCAAGGCCTGTTTCGACCAAGAGTTTGACCCAAGAAAATACCAAGCCCATTTAGAAGAAACGAAGACCATATTATTCAAAGGTTAGGAAAGAGCAAAGGATTTTTAGGGTAAGAATAAACTTCTATAAACAGAAGAATGAAAGAAATATAAAGGATTCGATTGAAGTGTAACAATTTCTTGCGCATTCAGTATTTTTATTGAACCCCTATATCTCTCTAAGAATTAAGGACTTTGATCCTCTAAGTTAAATATTATCTAAGTTATCGTAAGTTGAATTCTTTATTGAATGACACGCAACATTAAAAATCTATCTACCGGTGTTAAACCAAGTCAATTAAAAAAAATTTGAAAACTACACCGTTTTAAAATAAAAAAAATTTACCAAAGTTTAAAAACTGCACCGTTTTGAATTAAGTAAAATTCACCATACTCTAACGACATTGACCATCATTATCTCTCCCTCATCTTTTCCAAAAAAAGATCTTCCCTCCCTCTACTCTTTTTTATTTGAGTAATGATATGGGAACCGAAAAGAAATTCCCAAATTAACACCGAATTTAACGTGCTTGGCTATACTTATCACGTTAAACAATTATTTTTTAGAAACTGTTTAAGTAGATAAGATGGATTAAAACACTTTAGAGTCGAAAATTATACGGTGACCCTATCATTTTCCTTTTTATTTATATCTGAAACAAGTCACGTCTTTGTTTCTCTTTTAAATAGTAACAAATTTTAGATTTTTTTTTCCTAGTTGATACTCACACAACCCAATTCCAAATGATTGTTTGCACAAAATTATTAGATTTTAGATTTTTTATCATTTTATTTTTTGATTTGGGTAATATAATAAAAAAGTAATGAATCCGTTAAAAGTAATGAATCAGTTAAAGCAGAATTCAGGCGTATCGTAGAATAATGACAATACTAATGCATGATATCTTGTTCTATACTATTGCTCCAAAATACTATTTGTAGTGATATTAATCCATTGCTATCACTAAAGCATACCTAAAATCAAATTATATATATATATATCCCCACAATATTACGATTTATTTGGATCAATGAAAAACAAAAGAAAAAACTGAAAATATATAAGAACACAAATATATAAGTATATATATAATGTGTTTTCACTTACAATGGGTAGAGTAGCATAATCAAAGGCCTGCATGTATTGATTACAGAGAAACAAAATCAGAAAGATTGCCCACCCACTGCACAAAATTGAAAATGAAAATTGAATTTTGAACAAAAACATGTAATGTAAGAAATTACCCAGCTAGTGAGTGAAGACAAGTCATCAAAGTCCAAAAGCGATCCATTGTTCTCCTTAATTACTTGTTCAACAAAACAGATTTTAAACTGTGCGAGTAAAGAAGAAGACTAGAAAAGGTAAAGTGTAAAATGCATTTGTATGGTTTTTTAAGTTTTTTTTTTTAGTTTAATTCTATCTGGAATAATTCTTGGAGCCATCAATGTGAGGATAAACGATTCGGAACATATGATGTCGATTAAGAAAATATTTCCAGACTACAATTATCTGATCGATGGCTTCTTTTGTTATTCTTATTTTTGTCTTTCTTGTCTAATTTTTTTCATTCCATAAGTATCTCTCTAATTTAATAATTTAATTACAAAGAAGAAGGACACAATCTCTAAACAAAAAACCATACAAATGCATTTTAGGACAAAGAGAGAGTATATAAAAACCATACACATTGACGATAGAAATACCATATGTTGATCTATGGTTGAGTTGAATTCTGTTTTAATGGAGATCCATTACCTTTTTATTGTATTACTCAAATCAAAAAATAAAATGATAAAAAAATCCATATGTTGATCTATGGTTGAGTTGAATTCTGTTTTAATGGAGATCCATTACCTTTTTATTGTATTACTCAAATCAAAAAATAAAATGATAAAAAAATCTAAAAAACAATCCTCTGGAACCGATTTGTGTGAGTACCAACTAAGAAGAAAATTTGTTACTATTTAAAAGAGAAACAAAGACGCGACTTGTTTCAGATATGAATAAAAAAGAGAAGAAAGAGCGAGGATCTTTTTTTTGAAAAGATGAGGAGAAATAACGATGTTAAGCAGTTTTAAAATTTTGATAAATTTTTCTTATTTCAAAACGGTACAGTTTTCAAATTTTCTCTAAATTTTTTAACGTGATTTAACACCAGCAATAGATAAGTTTTAATGTTATGTGTCATTATATAGGGTTTTCAACTTACGATAAAAAATTTAATCTTCATTAATCTAAAAATTTAATCTTCAATCTTTTCTCTATATGTATGCATAGAGTGAGGAAAGAGAAAAAGGGACACAAATTTGAGTTAGTCGAAGAACAAATTTGGGTCGTGAGCATGTTCTAGAGAGAGTAACTAGAATGAAAAAGAGGGATGGTTTAGAGGGGAGAGAGAGGGGGATGGTACTATTTGGTGAGAAACACTAAAGAGAGAGATAGAGTTAATTATAAGTATTAGTCCTTATTTGTGAGAAACACCGAAGAAAAATAGAGTTAATTGTGCACAAAAACTAATCTAGAAAACATTTTACTGACCATTGCCAAATACCAAAAAAAAATAATAAAAAATAAATAAATATGTTTGAAAAATATTTTACAAGAAAAACATTTTCCTAAAGTATTGAAATAAAGGTTCTTCAAGCCACGTGTGTAATTTGCTGAACCACATAAATTTATTATTTATATATATACTGCGAATGTTTTTGTCTGTTCTATTTGCAATGGTATGTTCGATCACAACAGAAAAGTCAATTCGGTTTTTTCTTACTGAGCCTCTCTTTTCATCAATTTGAATCGAGACCATTTTAAGTAGACACTGCACTGCTCTCGAGACAATTTTGATCCCAACTCCAAATATATTTTTCCCAAACTTTTGACCACACCATTTTAACAACACCATCTCCCAAAGATTTCTGTAGTAGTAACGGCTATATTTTCTGCAACACTAGTTAGTCCAAATTCAGACCCAAACCCAGAGTGAGTCAGACGCTCCACATTTTCAAAGTAAGTACATACGTACGTACACTGTGTACTATTATGGTGATAAGATCTACTAATAAAAATGGGACCTTGGAATGGAAAAAATGGATACATTACTTTGTTCACCGTAAAAACTTATTGTTCTGACTCAAACTTCACAGATATTGGGATAATAGGAGATAAGATCAAATAAGAACATGCAATATAAGGCAAGCAATCAAATCATAAAATTAAATGCATTGGTAAATGGTAAGCTGTTAATTACACTAATATTAGGTTTGAAAACACTGAATTCACACTTTGAAGTTAAAATCCAAGAAAAATTAGTTCAATTTACGAGATCTGTTTACACCTTCTATCAATTCAACTTTAAAGTATTAAAAGTTCAAATATATCCCAAATATGCAAACTTTTGTGAGGAAAAAACAAAGGTTCTGTTTTTAAACAAATTTAATATAAAAATTTATAGAAAAAATATATATTTTTCACAAATACCAATTACATGCATGAATTTCTCAATGCACCTCAATTATGCCTAGTGCACCTCAATTATGCCTAGTGCACGGGACATTGACTTATCCAAGGCGTGTGTGCACAACAAGCGCACGTGTTGTGCTGTGCATAACATGCATGGCTCGAATAAATCCGATGCACGGTATGCCAGACGCACCTAATAACTTTTTCATCATATGATAACAGGATGATGTCATTAGATGAGATCCTCACTCCCACTCATTTATTTGAACATGTTTCGAATTCAAATGATATATCAGTGCTGCAACAAAGGCTAACCAAAAAAAAAAAAACACAAAAGAGACATTTTGCATTTGCAAATATAGACTAGAGAGTCACAAATAAAAATTCAAATTATCACTCATCACCCAAATAAAAGAGTTATGTCACAGTATATCCTTTAAAATATATATATATATATATAGAAAAATAAAAAAATAAAATAAAAAGAAGCAGTAGTTCAGTTATATTTCCAATATTGCCCCTAAACACCAAATGCTAGAAAATTTACAAATTAGTGTTCACTACAACGGCACAAAAAGTCAGTGTCACCTCCTGACGGGCCTGCCAAATGGCAGTGGACTCGCACCCACCCCCACTGGTGAGTAATCAAGGCGCAAATTAGCACCGACTTGGTGCACTTTTAGACCCACCTATTTTCCTTGGTTTGTAGCAAGAAGACGATACCAATTTATAAATGCTTACGTGAAGGAGAAACCCTCTTTAAGAGGGCTTTTGACTCTCTGCCCTCCTTATTCAGAAACGAACAATTCCACCTCTCAACACAAGGCATTTAATAATATCATCCCAAACACAAATCACAGTCCACACACTCCACACACACACACAAAAACAAAGAATGGTGGCTTAAAGAGTCCCCCATTACTCTATAAACATATTATACACATTAGGTGTGAGTATCACATCACATTACATTAACTATAATACTGGATTTCAAGGGGCATCTCCCTCCCTCTCACTCTCTCTCACTCTCCTCCCATTGAGGATCAGTCCACGCAGATAATAATGAATTGTTTCAACCACCCAAAAACTCTCTCTCTCTCTCTCTCTCTCTCTCTCACACACACACACACACACACACACGCACAAAGGATCAGTCCACAAAGATAATAATAAATTGTTTCAACCACCCATATCTTCAAAGACCAAAATTAGTAGAACCTATAATTCTCTAACCCTAACAATGAACCCTGCTCAAACAAAGCTTGTAATAAATTGTTTCAACAACCCATATCTCCAAAGACCAAAAACTGGAAGAATCTATTATAATTCTCTATCCCTAACAATGACAATAGTAAGTAACCCTGCTCAAACAAAAGCTTGTTAATTGGACATGGGGAGTATGAAAATTCAACTCAAGATATAAAAGAGGGGCAGTGCAACTGTTCAAGATTGATATTAATAAAAAATTGAGATTTTTTTATTGATGAAAGGGTTGAACAAAAAGGAACAAAATATCAATAACATCAACATATTCTTCCTTCTTTCACTAACCCAGTAAGTTTCCACCAGACATCAAATCTCCCTCAATGGCCTCCAATGGTTTTGTATATATCTTCATATATATACATGTACATAGTACACAGCCTCCTCTAAAAGCCAGCCCTCTCTCTCTCTCTCTCTTGCTCTAAAAACCAGATTAATCAGTTTACATATTTCTCCGTTTCTTCTCTCAATGAAACATGGAGATACCAAAACGAGGCCGGCCTACATTAAAAGTGAAAAGGTAAAAAGAAGTTTAGGAGAAAAAAGAAAAGAAATGTGAGGAAGATGGGACCAGAGAGCAATGGTGAACGAATGAATAAATAAGAACTGTGAAACGGAACTATGCTATCTCTCTGGGCTCCCCTGACATTGGCTGCTAATCGATTATTATGTAGTTCTGATTATGTCACAGATAATTGGTGAACCTTGTATGGTGGGGGGAGGGGTGGTAAGATGAGAGGGCTGAGGAAGACTTCCCGTCAGGGCTGGATTCAGCAGCAAGAAGAAAATGGAACAAGTAAAGGCGGACGAACAGAAGTACATACAGTAATGTGTCTAGAAACTATAATGCCTCACAGAGGACTCCAACACCTCTGGACTAGGGCAGATCATCTCCTTCACTCTGCTGCCATTTTTATAAATTTTGAATGTCGGAACAATCCTCACATTTTCAGCATTTGCAACCGCTTGGCTCTCTTCCACATCCACCTATTATGAAACATCATCAGACAAATTAGTTTTTTGTCTACATTTTCTACAAGGAAATATAAGGGGGATAAGTTCGGGTTGGATGAAACCAGAATGAAGAATATGTATCAAGCAGGCCATTTACCTTCAGAAAATTTATGGAAGGATAACGACTACACAGAGTGTTGAGGACAGGAGATAACTGCTTGCATTGCAGGTTAGATGCTGCTTGGAAATGGACTACAGAAGTGCCTGTAATTTCAAACAATAACCTTCTAAGAATTGCAATTTAATTAAGGAATAAGCAACTAGGCATGACTGCAGGATGACTCACTAGGTGAAGAAATTGCAGCTCTGAACTGCTCAAGACCTGATACTAACTCTACTTCCCCACCGAACTTCATATTATAAACTTCTTCCCCACGGGATTTCTTTAATGCAACTTGGGCGTGGAACAATGATTCTGCAACTTCGTTGTCATCTGGGAGTTCCCTCCTCAAGATCTCATAATCTTTGACGGCTTCAGCCCACCGATTAAGCTAATCCACAATATTTACTAATTAGCTTAAACATCAGTCACAAAAAAACAAATGCCAGGAAGAGCACATTCACACAAGTGACATACTGATTTATAAAGATTGAAAGGAAGTTTGAGAAGCTAAAAACCTTGCTGTTTGAGGCAGCCCTTCGCAGAAGGGCTTTGGTGTAGTTGGGATGGATTCGGAGAGCTTGATTGCAGTCGTCAACAGATCGCTCCCACAGTCCAAGCTTATACCAACAAGCTGCTCTATTGCAATATAGAATGGAGTTTGAAGGATCAACCCTGAGGCCTTCACCATAAGCTGAGCAAGCTTCAGTGTATCGTTCGGATTTAAAGAGATCATTGCCACGGACACGAGCCCTTGCCACCAACCTCACATTGTTGAGCAGAACAGAAATTTCAAAGTTACGGGGGTCAATCTGCCCTGCTTTCTCCGCAGCTGCCACTGCATTCTCAAACCTGCAACACATCCATTATCCATTATTACTCTTCCTCTCAATCTTTAGTGTTTTTTTTCCCCTAATGGAACATAGATTTTATAACTCACCTTCCCAAAGCCATCTCTATTTGGGCTCTGACAAAGAACGGGTATGCCTCAGAAAGCATTCCAAAAAATTTTGTCTGTGAGCACGAGGTAGTAGATGGCTCAAATCTAGGAACATTTGACAGACACGAATCAGCATCGTCCAGTTGGTGGAGCTTCAAAAGGGCTTCGGCTTTACATGCATGTAGCTGTAAATTCGATTTTAACACATTCAGTCATTTCATTTTATTTTTCCTCAATGCAGTCTGTCCAAATAGAATAAAAACAAAATTCAACAATTGCCTAACCTGAGGAGAAGCGTCAGCTCCAGCATAAATGGCAGCATCACCTTCCCTCAGTACACTTCTCCAATCACCAATCTTCCGGGCATTGGTGCATTTGCTTATATGCATCTCAACTGCTTGCAACTTGTGCAACTCATTTTCATCTGGCAGGTGTCCTGGTAAACAAAGGTGCCTCCTGGCATTTTCAACCTGTCCTAGACTGTGACCCTAACAGGAATTAGATTGCTTACTGCATAATGATGCAGAAGAAACAATTAAAATTCCAACAATCTAAACCACAGAAGCCAGCAGAACATTGAAGCATATTGAGGTATAATCGTTCATGAAAAAAGGACAAAGTTCCATGATAAGCAAACAAACTAGTTCTGAAGGACCAATAGGTTATAAACAAGTAGCACATGCTGTCAAACTGAATCACATATCCATGAAAACAAAATGCTCTTTAAGGTCCATGATTCTTAAACAACTCAAATAGGCAAGATTTAGGAAAATTCTGTAAAAATGCTCCTACTAAACCATTGAGAGAAATTACTCTAGACTGTAAGAAACATAACCCATGATTATGAATCACTCACAAAGCACTCCATATGAGTAACACACTAAGTTCAGAGATTTAAATGTAGGATATAAAAAACATGGTCATCCTAGTTGTTACTGACAAGAAAAGAATCAGAAAGAGTAAAAGGAAACTCAACAGTAACCTAGGTAAAAACAAGGAAAATCCAATCACAAAGAGCAACAGAGAAAAAAAAAATTATAGAACAGTGACAATAGCCAGAACAAAGTAAACAGTAAACCAAAACAAGAGAGCATCCACATGAAACAAACTGAAAGAAGATGAAGGCAACAATTTTTATCAATGAACATAGAAATCACAAGTTCACATACAGGCACATAAATTCTCAAGAAAATATTACCAAATTAATAACACAGAACCATAAAAAATTAATAACACTGAAGCATAAAAAAATTAAACTTTTTGCAACTCACCGGAGAATAAGAGACCCTAAACGATGATGTGCCTTCCCATATCCCGAATCCAACCTAATGGCCTCCTCATATTCTCTCACCGCCTCTGCCAACCGCTTGAGACCCGTCAATGCCACCGCCCGGTTGAACCGGTAAGTCGTATTGGCCGGCGATATCGCAATTGCCCGGTCATACAAACTCAAAGCCTCAGCCAAATGCCCCATTTTGTATTGCTCATTGCCTGCCCTCTTCACCACCTCCGGATCCATACTAGACATTGCCCTCTTCACTAAATCCCCACCACCTAAACCCCGCGAAGTTGCGACACTTGCAACATTTCCTTCTACGCCACCACCTCCTCCGCCCAATTTGGTGGCGCAGCCACCCCGCATTATGCTTCCGTGGCCGTAATTGCCCGTTCCTGAACCCAAAACATCAGTCTTTGAGCTCCGACTCGCCATCATCCCAGTCTTCAATATCTTCCCAGACGGGCATATATTACCGGTGGGAAGTACATTGACGGCCGGGGAATTCACCGAGCTCCCACCAGAATAGATTAATGGGTGGGAACCACCCGAATCGGAGCGGCGGTGAGACGGTCTGAATCCACGAGAGCCACCGGCGGACCGTACGCTCTCGGCAGCCGTAGGGGAACTTTCTACAGACCCCGATAGCTCGCCGGAGTGGTTGTTACCTCCGGAATCAGATCTTTTGGCGACCGTGTTGGGTCCATTCCTTCCGGATGTGGATCCGGATGAGCTCGAACTACTGCTGGTGGTGGTGAGCCCACTCGCGGCAGGTCCACTCGTCCGAGTCCGCAAAGGAGACACCGGCGAGCCCAGATCGAGCTCTCTGAAGTCTGGCTTGTTCGTGTTCGCGCTATTGTCACATGTTAGTGAGTGGCGAAACCGATCGGTAAGTGTATCAAACCCTAGTTCTGAAATGGGTTTCTCAGAATGCGACATTTTTGAACCAAGAAACTAAATTAAAAGGGGGGGACTTGATTGATTTTCTCTCACTTTCTCTCTCTAGGTTTCCGTTTTGTTTTTCCTCTCTTTCTCAGTAATGTCTGTCGCAGAAGCAACAAGACCACCAACCAATACAATAGGGAGTGTAACAGAAACAGAGAAGTGTTGAGGAAGACATGTAGAGATGGGGAAAGAGATTGACAGATGGTGAGAGAAAGAGAGAGAAGGGAGGAGAGAGAAAGAGAGACGGGGATCTCGTGATTTAAAAGGAAGAAGCAAAGAATGAATGCGAGCGTTGAGAGAATTAGAGAGAGAGAGGGGGGGTTTTACATTACAGAGATGGGAAGGAGAGAAAGAGAGTGGACGAAAGAAGAGAAAGAGCTTTTATTTCCTTTTCCTTCCCTTCACCTGCTGCTTCACGAGACAGGTTTTGCTCCTCTCTCTCTACAACTTTCTTCTCTCTTTTTCATTATTTTCTTCTCATCTCTACTTCCTTTGATTTCTCTCAATTATAATTCGCTTCATATGTTGTTGTTTTTCTAATATAAAATCCTGGCCCACTTTCATTTTACGGATACGGAATTGCAACATGCCAACACCTCCTCACTCTTTTTTTGGGTGTACATGGTTTCATTGGGTGTACATGGTTTGTACACAATTTAATTCAAATAAAAAATATATATTAACGGTTAAATTTATACTTAAATATTTTTTAGAGAGTTAAATTATTAGAGAAATCTAAATTAACATAACTTTTTTATAAAAAAAAATCCGAAATGAATAAATATTCTCACGCAAATATGTCCTTAATTCAAATATCAGTTCCTCTCTTTTATGCTTCTTGGGGGCACAGTGTAACAGAAAAGTATGGAAAAAAATTAAGAGATAATTTAGAAACTAAATATTTTGGGGGGCAACATATAGAAATTTATGATTATATGTAAAAATAAAATAAAAAATTTCTATATATTGTGATTGGTGGGGCCAGGGACGGGGCATGTGGCCCCTCGGCACACACGCCTATTCTTGGTGTATATCATACATATTTATTTACTATACATTGAATCGGTGCTAATATTGGTAGTTGTTACACGTAGGTATTTGTTTTGCATCGGTGGTGATAGAAAGTGAAAGGAGTATATATAGGTAGGTATGTAGTACTACTCAACAAGTATAAGTGACAATTCGTGTTCGTGGGTCATAATTTTATCGTGTTGATGTAAGTTTAGGGGTGGCAAATTACGACATAAGATAAGCAGGTTTGGGTTGACCTTAAACGGGTTCGGTCATAAACGAGTTGATAAGGTTCAACAAGTGTAACCCATTTATACACGTTTAACTCAACATGTCATAATCATGAATATGGACAGTTAAGTTATTTTAACATAAACTTTAATTACGCCTTATGATTTTTATTCTTATTTTGAATATTTGAATTAAATGTGACAAATATTTTCTAATATTTATTATTTGATTGAATATTAAATGTCTCGTTTTGATAAACATGTCATTAAACGGGTTAACACGTTAACGCATTTAAGAAACAGGTCGGATTAGTGTTAAGGATTTCTGACATAATTATTAAATAGGTCGGGTTTGGGTTACATCGACACGACACGATCATAACCCACTAACACGAATTGTCAACCCTAGATGTAAAGGAATTAAACTAAACAGATAAACCCAAACCCGACCCATTTTATAATAATGTCAAAAACTCTCAACACTAACATGACCTGTTTATTAAACGGGTAAACGTGTTAACCTAATAACCTGTATATCAAAACGAGACATTTAATATTTAATCAAATAATAAATAATATATAAAAAAAAAAAACCATAAGGCGTAAACAATGTTTATGTTGAAATAACTTAACTATCTATAGTAATTGGATTTAAACAAGTAACATATTACATGTCATATTCACAATTATACCAAGGCCTTGTAGCCAAGTGGTATCTCTTCTACCTTCCAAAGTGGACGACGAGGGTTCGAATTTCCAAATGAGCAAAATAGGTGTGTGAGTGTGGTGTGTGATATATATATATATATATATTCACGATTATAACATGTTGAGTTAAACGAGTTATACACGGGTTGAACCTCTCAATCCTGACCTAACACAATTAAGTAAATGGATTAGTTGTATCAATCCGTTTTTGACCCTAACCTGCTTAAGGTCAACTCAAACTTATTTATCCTGTCTCATGTTGGCAGGTCGTGTCGTAATTTGCCACCCCTACCAACAGGTTAAGCTTTTGAGTAAATAGGTAAGTACTCACCTATTACAGTAATCTACATTAGACCTCCATGACTTCACTTTTTAATTTTATTAATTATTGAGATGACAAATTTATCCTTCATTTCCTAAATTAAGCCTATAAATTTTATTTGAAAAGATTTAAAAAATGACAAAATAGTCATTTCAATGGTACAATTTAAAAAGTGCTACAATATTTAAGTGGAATATTATTATTTGAGTGTCAAAATAACAGTGCGACAACATTGAAATACCTCGAAATAATGATATTATGAATTATTTTAGCGTGTTGCACATGCTTACAACACACTAAAATTTAAAGTATCAAAAACCATACAAGAAAGGCTTTGGATTCCCTAACCTCTCGTCCTCTCTCTAAAAAGACTTACCATTAGTAGTATAAAATATAGCTAAAATTTGAATTTCAATTCACATTGTGAATTCTTAAAATTGTTCTTAAATTCCATATTTAAAGTATTAAATAGGATCATAAATGAAGGGAAGTAATCATGCTAATTTAAATTAGCTAAGTCTAAATTTTTGCTCGTGTTTGGATGTAAAAAAAATTTTCGATTTCAATCTCGAACTAAACTTTTAATAAATATTAAAAAATAAAAATAAAAATAAAATATTTTTTTAAAAATATAATTTGAACTCGATTTATTTTTTACAACCAAGCTTAAAAATCATTCTTTTCATCCTACCCTCTTATCATTATTTGGTAACACACAAACAATAGCCAATGTTCCCTTCTTTCCTTGACAGTTTTATATATATATATATATATATATATATATATTGGAATGAAAGAAAGTATTTGCAATGAAGAAAAGTTAGGAATATTTAGAGCACTAATAAGTAATAACACTTGTCACAATGAAATTTTCTGAACAAAAATAAAAAAAGGGATAGAAAAATTATATAGTATTTAACCAAAAGTAAAGAAGAAATCCGCAATTAATTACGGTTGCACCAAGAATTTATTAATTTATTTATTTTTAATGATCAATAACTTTTTGAATATTCTGAATGGATCGATATTGTATTACTACAGTCACTGATAAATTATTTTTATATTATCAAAGAAAATAACGAGTATTTATTGACAAAAAAATCTTCATAATCAATACAATTGAAATACTTAATATTTTTTTTGTTATACTCGACAATCGTTAGGACACGCTTGTGTGAACACTTATTTTCACTATATTATTTTACAACTTAATTAAATATATTTTTCTGAGACATAATAATTGGCTTCTTTAAATTTCAAGCAAGATTGCAAGTGTTTAGACACAAATTTTCCTCTACTATTCATTATTTATATTTTTTCAATAGTGTCATTCAATATCTGCAGTTTTTAATCTTTTTACTTGGTAACTCTACTCCTTCAACGTCAATTTACACTACTACCCCAACATTGGTCCTAGATTTACGGAAATGCTTCAGACGAGGTTAGTACCACATGGTTTCACTATGATAAAACCGAGGAAGTGACAAAATGTCCAACATCCAAGAGATGGGAGTGGGGGACCAAAGTGACCAACGCTAGGCAGTGGCACTACAGTGGATTGAATCAGACAAGCGGGCATTTTGGTAAAAAGGTTTCGTAGGGTCGACAGGAGCAGCTGGCCACGTGCTTTCGATGCTGTGCCAGTTGGGCCATTCAGGATGACCCAAATTGTCACAGTGGCCTCCAGCTAAGCAAATAACGGAAAAATTAACGGCGGCTATAGTGATCCAGGGGAATATTTTGTCGCGAAGGGAGTATTCTGCTGGTATAATCTAACCGGAGGGTGACGGAGATGATGACAACAACAGAGAAGTAGCAATCCGGTGGTGGTGTGGCAGAGGCATGGAATGATGATCAGATTATCCCTCATCCTGCCACGTAAGCAACTATTAGTAATCCATCCCTAAATATAAAACCATGTTGCTAAATTCCAAGTCCAAGATAGTTGAGGTGACATAATATATTTATATATATATATGAAAAATGATAAAATTCTGAATATGTTATTATAATCCCTAGATGTATCAATTTTGGAAAAATTTTGGTGGAGAATTATTATTAGACATCGTTATTGGAATCGCTAAAAAAATCCAATTTAAGAATATACAAAAGTATTTGAGTAAAGAGTTTTAATACAAGTATACAATATCTCAATCAACTATTTTCATTACTCATTATTGGTGAGTCGTATTGCGATGGATCGAGAGTCAGATAGTATATAATTTTTCTGAAGTAATTATGTAATATAAACAAAATGGGAACTCTCAACCCATTTCTGCCATGCTCTCTATCAAATCACCCCAAAATCACGGTAACCTGTCATTCTTATTAATAGACGGATGAATTTGGCACATAGATTATGTATGTGTATTTTGAAGTTAAATTATTTTATTTATTTATAAGAAATTCACAAACTTATTTATTCTCACGTAACATAAATCCTCACCGTCCATCTAAAAAGTAAAGTAAAAAAAGATACCACTACTTTATAAAGCCTTAAGTTTGTATTTTGAAGTCAATGAAGGAGCCTAAAGTTGCGATGACTAATAAGTGTGTTAGAGACTTATTAGAGTAATTTATTTAATAATTACACTATTCTTGTCTTTCTAGAGAAGTTTAGAATGTGATAATCTTACGATGAAAGGGGGGTTGAAAAGAGGAGGGTTGATTAAATAGATTAATTGCTAACATAACGGCTCAAAAGTCGAAAGGTAGTCCCATACTTTGTTTTGTAATATAGTGGGATTGATTAATAGTCAACCTCACGAGGACTGTCGGTGTAGGTGTCCTAACACTTGGACAGACCATAATAGCTTGCGGTATTTTACCAAGTTAAGTTGTTCTGGTTCCACTTTATGCGTGTGAAGCTGGTCATCTTATTCCTGTTTAGGGCCCAAATTTATGAAATCTTTTTACGTAAAACTATATTGCCACATGGCTACTTGGGCACTTTGCTTTATGGTATGAGGACCACCTGAATTTTACTCAATAGTGAGTTAGTGACATTTTGATGCGTGTCAACTAAAACTTTGGAATCAAAATATATATATATATATATATATATAAAATTTTGGAATTTCATCCGAGTAAAGTTGAAAAAAGTCAGGACTAATTACACCTATTGTCTAAATAATATGAATTTATTGTATGATTTCAAATATAACATTGATCTTTTTGTCAGTGGAGCTGACTTTGATCCGAATGTATTCAATGATTATTATATTTATTATATTTTTA